CTTCCAGAGGTTGTCGAAGCATCACTTGGCCCTCATATAATATGCAAGACACTGCCATGATGATGGTGCACATAACAACGGTCATTCATGCCTGGTTGTTTACCAAGTCTTTTAATTAAAAATAAAGCATATTAACCCCATAAGGGAAGAACAAAATGTTGAGATAAAAAACCATCTTTTACTCTAGACATTTTCTAAATGGATGGATTCTCGCATCTTCAACCATAAGAATATAATAGGCAATGTGCTGCAAATTGCAATTCATTTGTTGAACACTCCTTTCTCTTTTTCTTTTATTGTATGCAATCCCATCTCCCTAACCATAGAGATATTGGGCCACATGTAGAAGAAGTCGAATTAGATATTGCATGAGATTTTTTTTTCTGAACTGTGTTACTCTGCATTTGTCCACGAATATCACAGTTATTTAATAATATTTAAAATAAAAATAAAAATTCTAATTATTTTTTAAATTGTAATTAACATTTAATAAAATTCAACCTTTTACTTAAACTCCAAGGTACCATTAACTCTTCATTCTCTACTATTTCTAAGGACAAATGTTGACAGAAAAATAACCAGTATAATCGTCGCAAGTAAAAGCAGAAGGAATATGTCTCCCCTCGCGGCTCGGGCAAGTAGAAGGCCAGTGTTCACCTTGCTTCCCACAGATTGAACAATCCTTGAGAATTGCTTGTCCTTCGCTTAGGCCACAACTGGCACAACAGGAGCCTCTAAAGAGGCATCCGCAAATCTTACAAGTTACCTCAACACCTCTGCCGAGAGTTGCATTCTTTGGGAGATGATACCTATAAGGGCATAGTACCGTATAGTGTTTACCCACTTTTAAACAATACTTACATTCACCTGTGTACAATTTGTAGATTCATTGTTAAATACAATAAAAGTAATAAAAATAATCATTTGTTATTTTATTTTTTTAAAGACAATGAATGAAGATGATAAAACCCAAAAATCGGTATTGTGAGCACATGACATAGAATAATAACAAATACATAGATTATATGTTATAAGAGAAGCCGCAGATGAATATATGTAAATATAGAAGTTGCAGACTTTTTTCTTTTTTGTCTCTAAAATCAAAAGCATACTAATAGAATTAGCAAGGAGGAGGGAGGCTATCTAATTTTTTTTCTTCTTCTTCTTTTTCTCTCTAAAATCAAACAGTCTATGGGGTCTAACCTACTGTAAACTACAAGAAGCTACATTGACTTGTAGATTCGAACCCCCATGGGATCATGATAGTGTGTGTTAGAAATTCACCTCTCCCTTATAGTTTAGACTCTCTTGTGTGTGTGTGTATATATATATATATATATATATATATTTTAAGTCAAAAGCATACCAATTTCGTCCATTAGTTCTTCAGTCTCTAGTTCTTCATCCATTAGCTCTTCAATCTTTGGTTCTTCATCTTTGCTACCTGTTTGCATGCAATTATATTGTTAAATAAATAAAAAACTAAAAAATAGAAAACAAATGGGTGATGATGTCAAAGTTATTTTCAACATGAAATAGAATAACAAAAAATACATAAATATTTTGTCATAAAATAGAGAAGCTGCAATGCAGTTTTTTTCCTTCTTGTCTCTAAATAAAAAAGCATGCCAACAGGACTTGGAAAGAGGAGGCCATCCAATCTTTTTTCTTTTCCTTCTTTTTGTCTCTAAAATTGATAGGCCAACGAGATCTAGTCTATTGTATAAAGGGCCTTGATTCCCCATGACAACCTAGTAATATGTTTGAGAAATTCATCTCTAACTTGTACTTTAAACTATCTCTTGTATTTACATAATATATACATACCAGTACGAGTAGGACTAGGAGGGCCCCAGTGCAGAGAAAAATAAGTCTCAAGGTCTTCATCCAATATTGTAGTCTTTGGTTCTTCAACTTTGTTATCTGTTTGCATAAAATTATACTGTTAAATACCCAAAAAAAAAAAAGGGTGATGATGCCAAAGAAGTTGGAAGGAATGGCATCTATGATCCCATCAATAAATAACTATATTATTAGATATTGGGTATCCATCATGCACACACCAAAATAATATTGGTTGGAAGTTGAATCAAAATTGTTGGATAATATATATCCTCTAATTACACCAAACAAAAGTAAACCACACGAAACCCAAGCAATTCCAGATATCTTCCTTACCAACTCCAGAAACAAAAATAAAGCATACCAGGAACGCTAGGATGTAAGGTAAAAAAAGGGTAATTTTTCATACACAAAAGCTGAGGCGTAAAATTCAAATCCCAAGTAATTCAATTGCAGATAGTCTTGGACCTTGGTCATCCTTGAATTAAAAGAAAAAGAAAAAGCATACCGATTATTGGCGTATTGCAGTTGGAGGGAACCATAACTGGCGAGAAAAGGTCCTTTCGGCCGCCATCCTTATCGAGCACCTCTGATTGGGAATCCAATTTCATCAGGCACTCCAAAGATGTGACGTCGTGGTCCATGTCTGTGTATTATAGAGCTTGGGGTTTGGCTTCACCGTTGCGAGAGAAAAAAATCGATGGGTGGTTTGGCTTTAGGGTTACTTACTTACTTTTTATAGATAGTCTTGGACCTTGGTCATCCTTGAATTAAAAGAAAAAGAAAAAGCATACCGATTATTGACGTATCGTGGTCCATGGCTGTGTATTATAGAGCTTGGGGTTTGGCTTCACCGTTGTGAGAGAAAAAAACGATGGGTGGTTTGGCTTTAGGGTTACTTACTTACTTTTTATATAGGTGTGAACCACAACTCTTTTTCAACCGACCATATTAATCAATATTATTTTTTTCCTTTTTAACCTTGATTCGATGATAAATTATCATTAAAATAATAATAATAAAGTATTTTTATGATGCACGTATTAACAAATGTTTTTGTTTTTTTATTTCTCTAATATTATATAAAGCAATTTTAATGTATTTTATGTGGTTTGGAATTTCTTGTTTAGCCCTTGTTCTTTTTTAGCTTGTAAATAATCTACTTAATCAGTACTTGCTAAAAATAAACAAATTTCAAGAAGGGAAAGGCAGGATTGAGGAGGAAGCAGGAAGCACGTGGGAATTCAAGAATGCAACTTTTGGCTTCTCTCTCATCCTTGTCGTGATGTTTCCCAAAATCCTCCGCTTGGAGCTCCTGCCTGCCTTCTGGATATGTAAAGTTGGATCTTGACCAAATAGAGGTTTCTAAAAACCCCAAATTCTTATTATTATATTATTAATTTTGCATTAAAAAAAACCCCAAATTTATTCTATTGTTTCTGGCCATGTACGATTTGTTGTAATTCGGTGTCTTTGAACCTTTCTGTTTTGTTGTAATTCAGTGTCTTTGAACCTTTCTATTGTTTTATCCGAGTCTGACTTTTCTAGTGTTTTTTTAGTACAAGTAATTAAGAGAGGGAGTTTACACAAATATCATCAGGTGCGTGGAAGTCGAAGCAGAGAGCTCAAACAATTGAGCTATACCTCATTGGCGACTTTTCTAGTTTAAGGCAATCTCTAATGGTGATTTGGGTTCGGGGGCTGAGCTCTTGCATTAGAGATGGATAATCAAAGCATTCACTTTTATCACAGCCTCATCACCCCGAACGCCAGCGAATGGGGTCCACCTTGACCGCTGCTCATCGCTTGATCTGATAATTCCACACCCAACTTCTGTGAGAGGTGGCAGTGCCGGCGACACTAACTTTCATTATATTCCAGGAGCCTCAGTTTCTAAGTGCTTCTTGTGTTGACTAGTTGCTTGCTTCAGAGAAAAACAAACTACAAACGAAATATATATTCTTGTATTTTTTGTCAACTCAATCAACCTTCTCGTGTTAACTCCTTGAAAGATGAACAATTTTCTCAAATAATTTTTACCGTTTCATGTTTCACATCACAATTTAACATACGAGTTAGTACAATTTTCATTAAAGGTAGGATTTTTTCATGTTAAAAAAAACACTTTTATTTATTTTTAAATGAATTTGATGCAAGCTATATTAAGGGGGAGGGAGCGGTTTGAACACATGATCTCGGATAGAAGGATAACTACTATTAATCAGTTGAGCTACAACTTCTTTATAAAGCCTTTTATCTTAATAGTAATATCACTACTACATTTTACTCTTTGCGCGACGAAGAGAATTTCGTCGCGCAAAATACATTATAATTGCACAAATTTTAGTGCGACAGAAACTTCGTCGCGCAGATTCCGTCGCGCAAAGATCGTGAAGAAAGACTTTGTGTGACGAAGTTTTTTCATTCGTCGCGCAAAGAGACTTTGCGCGACAAAAAAATATTAGTCGCGCAAAGTGACTTTGCGTGACAAAAAACATTGGTCATGCAAAGCGACTTTGCACGACGAAATAATATTTGTCGCGCAAAGTTTTGTGCGACGAAAAAATTAAAAAAAATATTTTGGTTTTTGACTTTTTGTTTTATTATTTTGGTTTTATATTAATGTAATTATAATAATTATTTTTAATTTTTGAGTAACGAAATATTAATTTAATTATCTTAATTATTTGCGCGACGAAATATTTTAGTTTTTGACTTTTTGTTTTATTATTTCTTTAATATTAATTTAATTATATTAATTATTTCGAATTTTTACTTTTTAAATTTAATTTAATTGTATGATTTTTTTCGTTACTTTAATTTAAATTGATATTTATTTAATTATATTGATTTATTCAAATTTTTACTTTTAAAATTTAATTTAATTACTTTAATTTAAATTGACATATTCAAAATAAAATTACATATGAAAAATAGTGATCAAATTATCCAATAAATATATATATATAATATTCAAAATAAATATGGTCAAATAACAAAAAAGAAAAAAAAAAAAGGCATAATCTCCCCTAAAATTCATACCACAAATCCAACTCAAACTCCAATCCTCACCCTGTACTCGACCCCCAAACCCCACACAAACTCAAAACTAACTCCAAAAACACATATTAATGAAAAAAATTTAAAATTTGGTGAGAATATACCTTTTGGCAAGATTGAGAGTGAGTGAGAATGAGAGGGAAAGAGAGAGGAGAGGTAAGAGTAGAGAAAGACATTGAGAAAATGGTGGAGTTATTTTCATTTTAAAAACGGTATAACTTTGCGCGACGAACGATATTGTTGGTCGCGCAAAGTTTTGCGCGACGAAAAAAATTGGTCACGCAAAACTTTGCGCGACGAATACTGGAATATTGGTCTCGCAAAGTTTTTCGCGACCAATATTATTATATTGGCCGCGCAAAGTCAAAACAAAAAGAATCCTGCATCCCATTTTTGGTACCCGCCCAAATTTTGAAATTTTTGCGCCACGAAAAATAAATATTGGTCGCGCAAAGTCTAAAAAAATTATATAAAAAAATTCCGGCGTCCCATTTTTGGTACCCGCCAAATTTTTGCGCGGCGGAAAATATATATTGGTCGCGCAAAGTCTAAATTATTATTTTTTTTTAAATCCCGCGTCCCATTTTTGGTACCCACCCAAATTTTTAGAGTTTTGCGCGACGAATGTTGGTCGCGCAAACTTTTGAGAGACGAAAAATTGGTTCGTAGCACGATATTTATAAAAATAATTGTTATGAATAATAAAAAATAAAATTATTTTTTTTTACGATTTAAAATATAAATAAGGTTAAAGCTACTTAATAAATGTATATACCAATTTCTTAAGTGTTATACATACAAAATAAATAAATTTAAAGCTACTTAATAAGGAAATAAATATATATATATATACACACACCATTCAATGATCCAACCGTCAGACTTATTTGTATATACTTCAAGATCGTATACCCCAAAAATCGTAAAAAA